GCAGGAGCAGTGCGAAGACTGGGCGGCGTGCCTCCCTGGTGCCAGGCGTACCGCTGCGTGTGCCGCAAGAAGGGCAGCACGGACGCCGCTGCTTGCTCGGGGCAGCGGAGCAGGGCTCATCCTGATCCCTCCGATTCGATGCAATGTCGATGGCGTCCGATTCCGATTCGATTCGACTTCGGATTCCGATTTGGATTTCGATTCCTCAGTGGAGGTCTCTTGGCCCTGCCGATTTCTGCGGATTCGACTTCTCTCGACTCGGCTGCCGATCTCCGCCGATCCGATTCATTCCGATCGCGGATCCGACTTGTCGATCCGATTCTGGTCTCTCCTGGAGGAGCAGGTTGGAGGGGGGATGGGCTAGAGAAAGACAAGGTTTGGAAGGGCGCACGATCGGGTAAGTCGCTGAAGGACTGGTTCACTCGACATTGGCATGCGCAGTGTGCAGATGCATGATCCCGTCGTTTGTTTTCGTTGATCGGTACGGTTTGCCACAGGTATTCCGGTAGTCATCGAAAGTTTGTTGGCTATTCCGCCCAGGCGCATTTGGAATTTCGAAGGTTGAGTTAAGTTGCAGTTGAAGCCCACACCTCAGCTCAAATTTTACCCAGTGTGGACCGCAACCAATCAAGATGTAGCCCTCGTGGACCCCAACCAGTGAGTTCTTGCAATCTGGGCGGTGCAACCTGGGCGGTGCAATCAATGTGATGCCATCCATGCAGTATAAACTATGTGGCGCAAAGCCGCGCTCCGCACGCCAGGAGAGAGGGGGGGACTGGCGCCGATTCAAGAAATTCGCGCGGCCCTCCGAGAGCTTATGTTTGAGCAGTGGTTTGATCTCCCAGGGGCAAACGTGACACATACTGATGAAAGCATGTCTTGTGGATCCCTGCAGGCGAGCTTCTTGATTTCGTCAGATGCCGAAGCAGTGTTTCCCACCTTCGGAGGGTCCGAAGATGGGGCCCTAAGGGATCAGGCAGAGAGTTGAGCGGAGCAATGTTAGGGCCGTGTGTGCAAATTGCATGTAGGCCATTCGCTTGGGCGAGCTGAACTGGCAACGCCAGCGCTGCCACGGCTGCTTATCGCGAGCGATTGTGAATAAGCGATGTTTCATTGGCAGCTACGTCGCAAGCATCACTGGATTGAATTGCGCGTAGTTGTAGCCTGTCGCGGGCACGGCCCCGATGCCCTGCCCGCGACAGGCAACCACTTGTCGGCATGTTCCTGATGCAAGTCGGTGAGACTGCATGGCTATCTGGACTGGACTTTCAAGATGAGATAGGATAGGAAAGTGCTTTCAGGTTGAACTTGCATTGTTCGAGACCTCCTTGCCCTAGGGTCCCAGGTTCAAGGGCTCTACATATGACGTGCCGACAGCTGATGCGTCCTTGGCGTTACGTCCTGAAGATCCGCCTTGGGCGGCGCTCCATCATCACCATCATCGTTGTCACCATTCTGTTCCTCGATCCGCCCCGTCCCCGTCCACCTCCTCTTCCCCCCCCTCGCACAGGACTACTTCTACACGCTCCGGCTCATGGAGGCCACCCGGCTTGCACGCTCGCGCTCGTAGAGTGCGCGCGGCGTCAAGACCAGTCGATCCTGTACGTTGCACCCGGGGTCACGGTGAGAGTCGGAGGCGCCTCTTCCCCATCACTCCCCCTTCTCTCTCCTCCTCCCCTCCGCCCTCCTCACCTTCCCCCCCCCTCTCTCGCCCTTCCCCCCCACTCTCGCTCTTCCCCCTACCTCCCCCGACGAGGAGAGAGAGGAGAACGACACAAGGTAGCACAGAGCAGCGGCAGTGCAAGGGGCGAGGAAGTCGGACGCGAGCAGCCGAGGCGGCGATGGGCCATAGGGCACCCCGGGGGCACGGCGGACGGATCGTTGCTCGCGCGTCCCGGCCCGGGCCAGGTTTGCCCTTTCCACAGGGGGTCTCGGGAGGTTGCAAAGCTAGCGAAGCCAGGTGGCCCAGTTGAGATGCAGCCGAGGAGATGGGATGGTGACGAGAGTGGTGATGATGATAATGAACCTGTTACTCATAATGATAATGATGATGTTGCTGATGATGATGGTAATGATGCTGATGATGATGATGCTGCTGATGATGATGCTGGTAATGACTGTGATGATGCTGATGATGATGATGATGCTGATGATGGTGATTGTAATGAGTATGATGATGCTGATGATGATGATGATGATGATGATGATGGTGATAATGATGCTGATGATGATGATGATCTCGACGATGACGATGATGCTGATGATGATGATGGTGATGGTGATGGTGATTCGGATGACGATGATGGTGATGGTGATGCTGATAGTGATGGTGATGATACGACTGAGGATGAGGACGAAGATGAGGATGAGGATGATGATGTTGATGATGATGATCATGATGATGACGATGACGATGATGATGGTGATGGTGATGGTGGTGGCGATGGTGAGGATGAGGATTAGGATGAGGATGAGTCTGATGATGATGATGATGATGATGATGATGATGATGATGATGATGATGATGATGAGTGATGAGTGATGGTTGGTCACGATGGCGATGGATATGATGCTGTTGATGATGCTGATGATGGTGGCGGCGATGATGCTGACGACGACGAACGTGGTGACGATTGGAATGATGATGGTGATGCTGACTGCGATGGCGAGTAATGAGTAAATGTCCGCCTCAATAACTTAGCGGAAACGACGATGAGTCTGCTGATGGTTACGGCAACCGTGGTGCCGATGTTCGCGATGCTGACGTTGCTTTCGTGGCTCGATCTGAGTGTCCAGTGGCCACTCTGTTCGCTCAGAGCACTTTCTGGGGTGATGGCGGCGTCGCCCCGCCCTCCTCTCTCTCTCTCTCTCTCCCGGTGTGGCCGGGTGGCCGTTCCAGCCCAGGAGGCAGGCTCGGTCGGCGAACGTCTGCGCGCGGATCGCGCACGCGGGCTTGTTTTTGGGGCCTCCGGCCTTCCCTCCCATCGTCCCTGCTCTCTCCTCCTCCCTCTCGCCCCGCGTCGCCCCTCCCCCTCTCTCTTTCTCGCTCGCCTCCCCCCCTCCTCCCCCCCTCCCTGCCTTCGCGATCTCTTCCCTTCCTCCCCCCGGGGCCGTCCTTCCACAGGCTTCGTCCTCCCCCTCCATCTCCCTCCCCTCAGCTCTCCCTCCTTTGCTCCCGTCCCTCCCCCTCTCCCTTCTCCCATCGCACCCCCTATCCTACCTATCTCTGCCATCCGTCCCGTCCTCTCGCCATCCTTTCATACCCCTCATCCCTCGTTCTCCTCTTCCCCCACTCCTCCGTTCCTCTTCCCCTCACCCTCGCCCCTCCCTCGTTGCGCCCCCTTCCGCTCGCCCTCTCCCCCCTCCCCGCGATGGCGTGGCGACGACGGCGGCGAACATGATCGAGGATCGACCCGACCATCGACCGATACCGAGAACCCAACCGATCGAGCGCCTTCCTGTTTCAAGAATCGATATGTTATTGTTATTGTGTTTTGTTATCCTTAAGGGCTTCGCCCCCTGCCGCCGGCCCCCTCTCTCGGAGAATGGGCCATGGAAGAGCTAAGTCATGAGGCTTTGGCGCTAGCGTGCAGCAGTATCGGAACTTCATGCGAGGCCGATTCGCAATCGGCAAAACCAACTGATCACAAGAGGGGTTACCACACAGGGCGATTGGTAAGACGTGTATGGTTTACGAGCTTGGTTACCACACCTTGGGTTTAAAGGGCCGAGGGAGTACTCGCAGTTTGGGTTACCACGCCTTGCGATGGATGTGCGTGAAGGGTGGCACCGAATTTCAGAAATGTAGCAAATCCTCTGTGTTTTTGGACCCTGACCCCGCGGATCTGCGTGAGGGGTGGCACCGAATTTCAGAAATGTAGCAAATCCCCTGTGTTTTTGGACCCTGACCCCGCGGATCTGCGTGAGGGGTGGCACCGAATTTCAGAAATGTGGCAAATCCCTGTGTTTTTGGACCCTGACCCCGCGGATCTGCGTGAGGGGTGGCACCGAATTTCAGAAATGTGGCAAATCCCATGTGTTTTTGGACCCTGACCCCGCGGATCTGCGTGAGGGGTGGCACCGAATTTCAGAAATGTGGCAAATCCCCTGTGTTTTTGGACCCTGACCCCGCGGATCTGCGTGAGGGGTGGCACCGAATTTCAGAAATGTGGCAAATCCCCTGTGTTTTTGGACCCTGACCCCGCGGATCTGCGTGAGGGGTGGCACCGAATTTCAGAAATGTGGCAAATCCCCTGTGTTTTTGGACCCTGACCCCGCGGATCTGCGTGAGGGGTGGCACCGAATTTCAGAAATGTGGCAAATCCCCTTGTGTTTTTGGACCCTGACCCCGCGGATCTGCGTGAGGGGTGGCACCGAATTTCAGAAATGTGGCAAATCCCTGTGTTTTTGGACCCTGACCCCGCGGATCTGCGTGAGGGGTGTCGATTTCGAGCCCCCCCAGCAATTCAGACAACGCGCCCAGGAGGTGCTAAAAATCCCGTTTGGGCCTCCCCCCCCCTCGCGCGGTCAATCAACTAGTTACAGTAACCAGCAACAAGCAGAACTGTAACATTGGAAACTACAAGCTACAACTGGTACTGGAAACTGCGAACCCGTGCCTCGCAGCCTGGTGGCCCCACAAGGGGGCCGGCGGATTATTCTGGAGAGTCTCAAACCAATCTAGTTACTTTATCAGGCTTCCGACTTCATGTTTTTACCTGCTTCTGCCGACCGGCGTACACCGAGACCCCCAGCCGTCGACCACGCGCAGAGGGGGGTGGGGGGAGGGGGGAGGGCTTCTTAGAAGCACCCCGGCTTCTCAGAAGGCGCGGGCCTTCTCTATAGACGTAAGGCTGGCGTCTTCTAAGAAGCAGCCTCCCTCTGAGTAGCCCTCCCCCCTCCCTCCACCCCCCTTGTGCGCACCGCCAAGACCGATCGAGGGCCTCGGCTTTCGACCCGACGGCCGAGGGGATCCCCTCGGCGTCCAGCGACCGCCGCAGACGCCCGCGCGCCGATCTCTGGAGGGGGTCACTGGCCGCGGGCCGCGGCGGGAAGGCCGCCGCGCCGTCGGCCGCGCAGCGCGCGCGCGCGGGCCATCGAGGGGCGCCGAGGGGGGGGGGGGCGACTGACCCAGAGGAGGAGGAGGAGGAGGAGGAGGGGAAAAGGAAAAGGAGGAGGAGGAAAAGGAGGAGGAGGAGGAGGAGGGGGAGGAGGAGGAGGGGGAGAAGGAGGAGGAGGAGGAGGAGGGAGGGAGCGAGGGAAGGAGGAGGAGGTGGAGGAGGAGGAGGAGGAGGAGGAGGAGGTGGAGACGACGACGACGACGACGACGACGACGACGACGACGACGACGACGACGACGACGACGGCGACGACGACGACGACGACGATCCATTCTAGGACTGATGGGAAGGACTGGTTCGGTGGAGTCTGTGATTCGAATTCCGGATTCTGAAGCAATCGTGTTTTACGGCACTTGGGTTTCGGCGCTCCGGCGCCCCCGCCGAGCTCTTAGAGGGCCGCCCCCACCCCCCACCCCAAGGGTGGCGAACATCGGCGCCTTGCTTTGCATTGCCTCCAAGATGGAGGTCGAGTAGGTGGGGATAGGAGGATCGCGCCGCGTCGCCGATGCATTGGCGATGTGGCTTGATGTAGGGCCCGAGTTTCTCGTCGCCGGCGTCGCCGGTGCACCACCGACGTCGCCAACGCATCGTCGATGCATCGCCGCTGAGCACGCTCGACGTCATGGCCGGGGACACCTGGGAACCAAGAGGCATCGTTTCCAAGTTCGTGCGTGGGACGCCCGACAAAAAGCTAGACAATCGGCAAGAGAAAAGGCGCAACAAAAGATGAGACACCATTGTTGATCCAGTGCCTCCCTGTGAAAACCCCACGGAGTCTGCGCCAACAAATTGTGCAATAGAAAACGTCTAGCCCCCTCTAAGACGCGCAATGAGCATTGCTTCTTGTTGCGCAATGTGTGCTTCGTGTCTTTGTAGGTGTGTTTGTTTTTTCTTGAAGGTGGTTTCAGCTTCAGGGGTTCCCAGTAGTGATTGACGGGCTTCGATAGCAAGCCACGAGTCGGGACCTCTGGGGCCGCGGATTGAAACAAGTGGATCTGCGGGTGCTTGAGTGCGAGGAAGGAGAAAAACCATAAGCCTTCGGGGGCGTTGGCTTGGGGCGGCGCCCTGTCACCGGAGTGGGCGGCAGCTGGCAGTGCCCCCCGACGAGCTAGAGGAGGCCGCGAGAGCGCGCAGCGGTGACATTCCCGATCGCTGCAATTAGCTGCGCTTGGCGGTGCTCCCGCTTCGGCACGCCCCTCGCGTGGGTTGTAGACGTGGGGGCGGAGCCGTGACCCTTTCGGGGGTGAGTAGACCTCCTACCCTGATACGTCGATTAGCGAATTGGCCGTTTTCGGTTCGCGAGAGGGCGTTGAGGCCGTCATTTTGGCCTGTCCAGGTCCGTCGGTTTCGGTCCCACGCCGTTTTCACTAAAGGGTGGTTTACTAAAGGGAGGTTTGTCCACCGCCGAACCCTCGAGGAATGAGAAGGCGTCGTTAGCATCAGCTTGCTTTCTTCGGGTGGAGTCCTTGGAGGAGCCTGGCACAGGAGAAGCGAGGTGAAGACGAGGATCAGCAGGAAGGAGCGAGAAAGAGAGAAAGATAGCAAATACGCCATGCATTACACGCAGGTGTTTTCGGAGGTCTGCGGGGATTACTCCGATCGGCGCCGGAGGCAACGCCAGGGGGTCCAGCGTCGATCGAAAATATCTGCGCGGCCGCGGACCTCCGCAGGCGTGTGTGTGTGTGTGTGTGTGTGTGTGTGTGTGTGTGTGTGTGTTTTGTGTGTGTGTGTTTGTGTTTGTGTGTGTGTGCGTGCGTGGGTGGGTGGGTGCGTGGGTGCGTGGGTGCGTGGGTGCGTGGGTGCGTGGGTGCGTGCGTGCGTGCGTGCGTGCGTGCGTGCGCGCGCGCGCGCGCGTGCGCGCCATGCATTACACGCAGGTATTTTCGGAGGTCTGCGCGGATTACTCCGATCGGCGCCGGAGGCAACGCCAGGGGGTCCAGCGTCAATCGAAAATATCTGCGCGGCCGCGGACCTCCGCAGGCGTGTGTGTGTGTGTGTTGTGTGTGTGTTTGTGTGAATCCCCGGGGGCCGCGTGTGCGTGCGTGTGCGTGTGCGCGTGTGCGTGTGCGTGTGCGTGTGCGTGTGCGTGTGCGTGTGCGTGTGCGTGTGCGTGTGCGTGTGCGTGTGCGTGTGCGTGTGCGTGTGCGTGTGCGTGTGCGTGTGCGTGTGCGTGTGCGTGTGCGTGTGCGTGTGCGTGTGCGTGTGCGTGTGCGTGTGCGTGTGCGTGTGCGTGTGCGTGTGCGTGTGCGTGTGCGTGTGCGTGTGCGTGTTGTGTGTGTGTGTGTGTGTGTGTGTGTGTGTGTGTTGTGTGTGTGTGTGTGTGTGTTGTGTGTGTTGTGTGTGTGTGTGTGTGTGTGTGTGTGTGTGTGTGTGTGTGTGT